GGGAGCGCTGCCGCGCTTCCCAGGCGGCGCACTGTAGCAGTGCGCCACCGGGCCGGCCCCACCAACCCATTCTTATCTACTATGTAAGGACCCATTTGCTATGCAAGGACAGCAGACATGAGTTTAGATATCATTCTTCCTTCTAATGCCAAAGTGATATCTGAGTTCTAAATTTTCCTCTTAGAGTCTATCTAATGATTCTAGGTAATGTTCTTTAACAGAAACATCTCTATCACCACCTTCCGTTCAATTTTGATTCAGTCTAGTATTAAGACTGTCTATACTAGTTCATGTATTTGACTGCAACTTGGCTGAACCATAAACTCAGCAGACTACGAGTAGGTTATAAAGAAATAAATTTGCCATCAAAATGTTGAGGAAAGGTAGTAAGAGAAAACAGTCCATAAAAATACCCAGAATAAATAAATTAGATGAGAATTCAAACTACCTTTTGATACTGTTCTTCATTCATCTGCAGGGCAAGCAAAAAGTCTTCATGCTGAGGAACAAAAACGTCATACATTCAGATACAAGTTTAGTAAAGATGACACAAACCATTTTGTATTTATTTCCAGAAACATAACCCTATTATTAATAGTCATCACATCGGTTACATAGTTTAGTAGTTTAAAAGTTACCTGAGAATAAGTTAAAAATGGATCAGAGACCCAGCTATAAAAAAAGAAACCATACAAGTACTAGAAAATATGGGGAAATTGTTCTTAAGTCTGACTCAAAATGCAGAATGAATAAGGGAAGACATATAAAACACTTCTGAATAGCAAAGAATAGCATAAGCAAACAAAATACCAAATGGGTAAAAACCAAGTTTGACAATATACTTTGTTGGTTATGCTGTGGGGCAACAGGCACTCTTGTATAATACTGATAACGCAAAACAGTACAGCCATGATGGAGGGGATCTTGGCATGGACTCATCAATGCCACTTTTAGGAATCTAGCCCAAAGATACCCTGGGGCAGAAATATGAAATGATGTATGAACAAATTTACTTATCATGGCCACTAATTATAATAGGAAAAACCTGGAAACAACCCTGAATGTTCATCAATAGGGGAATGATTGAATAAACTCTGGTACTGCATAAAATGGTAAACCAGCCAGTTTCAAAAAGGAAAGAGGACTGCTGTTGAATGATTGCAACGATGCACTGTTAAGTGAAAAAACAACAGTAGAAGAGTGTGCTACCTTCTGGATAAGAAAGAGGGGTAAATAAAAGTACATACACACATATATTTGCTTTTATATAAAATAAGGAAAGATAAACCAAAAACTAATAGCAATGGTTTTACATAGAAAGAGAGAACACGTGGGAAGGGACAGAACAGAAGCTACATCTCTCTGAATATTCCTTGTTTTATACTTTTGGCTTTAGAACTAAAAATATCTTGCAAAATTAAAGAGCAAAATCAGATAAAAAAACAAAAAGGCAATTCCCTAAAAGTTGAAAATAAAGAGAAACAAATTTAATTATTTATCAAGTTAACAGCATAACCACAGACTTTTTTCTTTTTTTGTCTTTTTTTTTTTTGAGACCGGCCACACCGCGCTCAGCCAGTGAGCGCTGCGAGCGCACCGGTCATCCCTACTTTTTTTTTTTGAGACCAGCCACACCGCGCTCAGCCAGTGAGCGCTGCGAGCGCACCGGTCATCCCTATATAGGATCCAAACCCGTGGCAGGAGCGCTGCTGCACTCCCAGCGCCGCACTCTCCCGAGTGCGCCACGGGCTCGGCCCACAGACTTCTTTTTTCAAGTGACCTTAAAATACAATATCTTTGATTTTATATTCTTAATATAATTTGACAAGAATTATATAATGTTATTAAGAACCAAGATTCTTATAAGAGAAAAGATATACAAACATAAAATGAGAGAAGTGGAAAAAACCTATAAGCTAAGTTTGAAACAGAAATCTCAGCATAAATTCCCACTAAAGAAAATAAAAGCAGCTTGGAGAAACTGTTGATTTCAGGTCTGGGTCAGAGAAGGCAGATGTTGAACCTGGGTCACCTCACTGTGCCACAAAGCCAGGATGTTGTCAGAGACTACTGGGGACAGGACAGAGGGATGAATTTGAAGGGGCTGCCACTGGCCAAAGATGGGACAATTTGGACATCAGGGATAACAACTACAATTAACTACACATACATCAATTTCCAATACTTTAAATACTTTTCTGATAAGATCAGTGGTGATATTAATGAATGTGATTCTGTGATGGATGGATCAAGATGATAGCAACTTCATTAAAATTCTAATTTCTGCTTGAGATCTAGAATTTTATCATTTGTCGCAAATAATTACTTCATTTGAGAAAATGTCTGCCAAATAGCTAACTGAATAATCATATTTTCTCTGTCAGTCACTTTTTCAAGTAAAAATGGTGTTCTGTGGGGGGGGGGGAGAGTGATTAACTTAGCCAGTTGTGACCCAGTCGCACAAGTGCTTTTGCTTGAGCCAAGCATCATATCTCAGTATGTGGCAGAAGCACTTTACGCATACTTCCCATTGTGTCATACAGAATATTGAGAAGATGTTCTCGAGGGTCAAAATTTGATAAATAATTTTTACTGCTTCATCAAAGATATTTCCAGGTGAAGCGTATTTTTTAAAAATGTGAGTGTGGTGGTGGAGGAAAAAACTACTGTTTTGTGCCACTGGCCTGATTTCATGCTAAGGCACCATTGCTTTTGTTCTGTTGGTACAAATTCAACAAGGTGGAAAAAAAAGCAAATAATGTCTTAGTATTATAAGAAGAGATCTGACCATGAAGACTCCCTGAAGAGTCCTGGGGAACCCAGGGATCTGTGGGCCACACTCTGAGAGCTACTGGTCTAGAAAATATATTAAACAACCAATATATATTCTGATTGACACGCACATTTGATAATATATTAGGGAAAATAAAAGAGCTAAACGAAAACTGTCTCTGGTTTTTCTCCACTAGAGGCTGAGGGGCGTGAAACAGATATGCTTACTAAGGTCCAGTTGAAACTCTCTAAATCTGATTTATGAAACTGTGAACTTTAGTCAGTATCATTACAAAACACAGCTTTGTTTTCCTTTTAAAAATTCTGTCATTTATTCAAATTAGTCACTCTAAAGAACAGAGAAATCTTAAAAGACAGTTTGGTACTAAGCCGTAACAGTAAACCAGAATCCCAGAAACACATTCCAAGACCAGAGCATATCTTCCTACCTCTGCCATCTCTTTGATTTTCTGCTCATAGAATTCCTGCTCTTGCTGCACAGCTGGAAGGAGGGCACGCCGGTCATAGAACCTACAATGTCGCCGCTTATTTTCCAGAAAGAACATCCTCTTTTCTATTTTTATGTCACCTAGAAGATATATGACAATGCACAATCATGCAGACAATTGTATGCTAGGAATCCAGGCCAGCCATTTCCAGTCTTCTATGGCTTCCATCCTCACCTACTCCTGGGCAGTACGTTTCACGACTCCTCCTATAACATGTTCTACCATTTGGGAAGACTGGGCTCCTTAGCATTCCCTAATCTATCATGCACTTTTCGACCTTCTTTTGTTATGCTCCAACTGGAGAGCCTCTTTTATCCTATATTGCACTGCATGAATATACCACAATTTATTATCCTTTCTACTACTGAGGACATCTGGGTTTACAGTTTTGGATTATTATGAATAGGGCTGTTGCAGCTATTTATTGGTGAGTGTATGCCTACAATCAGTTGGGTATACATAAAGGAGTGGAACTGCTGGATCATGGGATATGCAGGAATCCCAGCTTTAGAAAATAATGCCAGGGCTGGCTGGTTAACTCAGCTAGTTAGCGCATGGTGCTGGTAACACCAAGGTCAACACCCGAAAATGCCAGCCGCCCTAAAAAAGAAAAAAAAGAAAAAAAAAAAAGGAAAAAAAAAGAAATAAAGAAAAAAAATTGCCAGCTTTCCAAAGTGGTTGTATCAATTTAAACCCTTCTGACACAAGCAATGTACAGGAGTTCCAGTCACTCCACATTCTTACCAACACCTGGTATCAACCAGTTTTTAATTTCAGCCAGTCTGGTAGGAGAAATGTGCTACATGTATGTTTCTTAAACTTTTTATTTGGAAAATCCCCAAATATACAGAAAAGCTGAAAGAGCAGTACCTAGATTTATCACAGTAAATAACATTTAGGATAAAAGATAGTAGAATGACAAATATCAGGCATGGAATTTGCCTGTTCAGGTTTTATATTTCTTCAGTTGACTTGGTAAATTATGTTTTTCTGGAAAACTCTATTCCATCTAGATTTTCAATTTACTCACAAATCTGTTCTTGGTAATCTCTTGATTTTAATAATATTTCCTGTATCTGG